AATTTGTAAACAAAACTCCAATTCAGGCCAGGGAATCGCAGCTCCTTTATATCTCCGTGAATGAGGTTTCAGGAATAAATGCAGAAAGGGAAGGAGTGAGATATTGAGATAGAGAGGAGCTTCAGAGGTTAGAGTAGTTGCTGAAAAATTGGCCACCGATGGTGGGCAGCTGGCTCGAGGTTGCCAAGCAGAATTGGGTAGGGGGGGCAAGCAAAATCATGGAGTAGGAGATCAGAGTTAGGTAAAAAGATGTTTACGTGAGGGCAAAGACTTTGAAGTTGATCTATTGAGAACCAGTTGAGGGTTGCAGAACTTGGTGCCAGTGAGGATGAGGGCAGCATGAGTTTTTTGAGGGAACTTGTGAATATTGGAACTAGGGAGCCTGGTGAGGAGTGCGTTTGAGAGATTGAGTTGAAAGTTAACAAAGGGGTGAATGAGGGTTTCAGCTGCATTTTATATGAGATAATGTATTGAAGGTAATTTAGGCAAGTTTCCTTACTCCACATGCCTCTGTTTACACAATTGGCAGCCGTGTTTTACCCACAAAATATGCAGTCAATTCACTTAAAGTATATTCTGTGATGCGCTCCAAGATGTCTCGTAACCGTGATAAGGCTCTATATCAAAAGCAAGGATTATTATTATTTGGTGAAGCTCCAAGAAACTGAGGCTAGGACAGGGATTAAACGTGAGGAAGGAAAGTTTGGGATTGAACTAGGTATCAAGGTTGCACACTGATCCAGTGAGTTTGAGAGAATGGCCATGGAGATTAAGAGGTGATAGCTGCAAGTATAGACATCTTTGTCGGGAGAGGTGGAGGAGGATGGCTTCAGGCTTGTCCATGTTGATCTACACAAAACTGAGGTTCATCCAAACCTTGACAGACACACAGGCAGATCAGTGGACCTAACATCAGGAATAGCAGTGGAAAAGCAGATTTGTCTGTGATGATAATAATCCTTTCATTTGATACAGTGCCTCATCATGTTGAGACATCTCAAAGCACTTCACAGAATACTGTGACTATACAGTGACTGTATATTTTGTGGGAGAAACGGAGCAGCCAATTATGCACAGCAGTGTCCCACAAACAGTCGTGGATTATTTATTTTTTGAAGGGATTATTACCACAGATAAGGTATCTGCCAATCGACTAACAACCTGGTTCCTATTTACTGCTAGGTGAACAGAGGCGTGTGGATTAGGGAAAAGTGCCCAACGTTTCGCCCTTCCCGGGAATCAAACCCAGGTCATCTTGCTTACAAGGCGAGTGCTCTAACCACCAACCTGCAGGACTCCATTGTACATGGAGCAGTGTCGGCAGATATCCCCAAGAGGGAGCATGTGCATAGGAAAAAGGACACATCATAGAATCATAGAATTATACATCACAGAAGGAGGCCATTCGGCCGATCATGTCCGTGTCGGCTCTCTGAAGGTACTATCCAAATTAATCCCACACCCCTGCTCTCTTCTCATTGCCCTGCAAACTTGTCTTCCCCAAATATCTATCTACAGATAACTCTTGAAAGTTGTTATCAAATCAGCTTCCATCAACCTTTCAGGCAATACATTACAAATCTGAACAACTCGCTGTGTGAAAACATTTCTCCTCACTTCCCTTCTGGTTCTTTTAACTATTTTAAACCTTTGTCCTCTGGCTACCGACCCAACCGCCAGTGGGTTTCTCCCGGTTCAAATACCTTCATAATTTTGAAAACCTTTATTAAATCTCCCCTTAACCTTCTCTGCTCCGAGGAGAATAATCCTAACTTCTCCAGTCTCTCCTGATAACTGAAGTCCCTTATTCCTGGTAAATCTCCTTTGCGCCCTCGCCACTGCCTTGACATCCTTCCTGAAGTGTGGGGCCCAGAACTGAACAGTCTCCAGCTGAGGCCTAACCAGTGTTTTATAGAGGTTCAGCATAACTTCCTGACTTTTGTATTCTGTGCCCTATTTATAAAGCCTAGTATCCCGTATGCTTTTTTAACAGCTTTATCTGCCTGTTCTGCCACGTTCAAAGATTTGCTTATATGAACCCCCGGGTCTCTCTGTTCCTTCACCCCCTTTAAGATTGTACCATCAGCTTATATCGCCTCTCCTCGTTCTTCCTCCCAAATTGCATCACTTTGCATTTCTGTGCATTAAATTTCATTTGCCACGTGTCTGCCCGTTTTACCAGTCTGTCGGTATCCTCTTGAGGTCTGCAACTGTTCTCCTCACCGTTTACTACTTTTCCTAGCTTTGTATTATCTGCAAACTTGAAAATTCTATATCCTACACCCAAGTCCAGGTTATTTATATAAATTAAAAAGAGTGGTCCCAATACTGAGGTCCTAATATAGATGATGGAGTGCTGAGGTACGGTGCAGTTTATATACAAACTACTTGATCCCTGGATTAAATTCCGCTCTATAACATTCCTGGGGATCTACATATAAATTATGACTGATCTCCTGGATTACAATCCAACCTCGAATCACGCCCAGAAAGATTCCTTACTTTCTATGACTGGAGAGAAAGTCAGTAACAAAATGCCAGAGGGAAGCAAATAACATGTCAGCAGTTTATTTTTTGAATGTTTGTAAAATTATAATTTACATATTTAAGTACAATTAAGTTGCATTTTGTGCGCACTCGACAATGTGGGCTGCGATTAGTGGGACTGGAAAAATCCGTCTCAATTCAAAAAGAAATTCTCCACCAGCGGACCTGACTGGACCATCAAACAGGGCACAGTGTAAGTGCATTCATCATCATAGTGCATTAACATGCAGGTGGGCGTCTGCTACAACACATTCAATCCCAACTTCATGATAGAGCCGTTTCAGTTCAGAAATTCTTAAAGGGGTTGATCTTTCCTGGTGGAGTGGAGAAACAATGTGCAGTTTCACATTTGAGCCCAGTTCTCCCTCTCCTTTAAGATCAGTACAAATTTGATTTACCACAAGCAATGTGTTTATACTGATTTTCTGACGGCTCACTTTGTCCTCTAAAAATAATCTTTTTTTTCCTCCTAAAAATTCATTGTGAATGTGAAACAGTTGTACAAAACCGTCTGTCCATGTCAGAGTTAGGTGCAGGATTCTTTCACTCTCCTCCCCAATTACAAATGAACAACCCCGGCCAGTGCAGACACAATGGGCTGTCTGTGCTGTGAATATTGGCTCCTATTTTATTCTGAAATAAATCTTTAAAGGCTAATTTATGAAGCAAGGCAAAAGGGGGGAAATCATAACTCTCCCCCCACCACCCCTCCCTGTGATTGTAGATTGCGTTACAATCTTGTGAAGCGCGGGGAGATTGATTCACAGGAAAAGCTGCCCGTCAGCCAGCACAATCCTTTGCTGGCCAACACTAGCAATGCAGACTTCAGTCCAATTGGCTGTTCACCCACTTGACGGACAAAGCTGATGAGCAGGCAATAATTGTGGGAATTAAAGGCAAAATGGCGACTGGGTTCATTGAAATTCATTGATTGAAATGAAAGGGCACTTTTCGGGTAATCTGGCCATGCACCTTTATTTGAACTCCTTTATGCAGTGGAACTTGTAGGGCTCTGTTGGCAGTAGTTCAGCAGTCTGCCGAGATTGGGATGAAACAAATAGCTCTTTATGTGTTACAGAATATTTCAGTGTATTTGACAAAAGCCTGCACTTCTAGAGCACCCTTCACATTGGGCAATGTATTTTACTGGGAAAGGGTAGCACATTCAAAGAAGTAGGATTTGAGGCAGGACAGAGAAAGAAAGCAGAGGCCAGAGTGGTAGAGGTTCAGGGAGTAGAAACTAAAGGTTATGATGTGCACCTAGCAGGGAATTGAGAGATTTATAATAACAATCCTTGCATAGGATACCTATAACTTTGCCTAATAATAGCACAACACCTTACAGTAGTATATCCTGCAAAGTGTTTTGAGACATGCTCCTGATATGAAAGGTGCTGTATCAAATGCAAAGATTATTTTTTAGATAATGACAAAACATCTCAAACATAAGAAATTGTAGTGTCACACATTTCCCCTCTTTCCAGTTACTAATGACAGATCCCATTCTATTTTAGTCTGAAATAAATCTCATGTATCTGTCTAGTGTAGTGACTGCAGGCAAACTGAGTAGCCAACTTGCACGCAGCAAGGACCCAAAAGAGCCATGAGATGAACGACACATTGATCTAGAGGATCTGTGACCAGGATATTGGGAGAAATTCCCTTTGTCTTTTCTAATAGCTTCACGAGATTTTTAAGGTGTTAAAAGTGTGGGTGCCAATGGCGCCAGAGTAAAGATGGCTGTCGTATTTCGCCAACAACATATACAGTCACTAACCTCAGCAACATGAAAAGTCGCTATAGCAAATCCAAGGATTATTATTATCTTTAACATTGAATTGAACAGTTTGGAGAACATCTTCAGATTTGACAATGTTGACTAAAAAGGCATATTTTTTGTGAAGGAGATAGAGAGCTAGAAAGGCAATGTGGGATTCGAAAGGTGATGTTAGGGGTGGGGGGGGGGAGGAGACAAGAAGGTGGGCAAGTGGGTGGTGAGGAGTCTTGTGCAGGAGAGAAGTCAGGCTGTGTAGTGGTCGGTCTGTTGAAGTGTGTGGGAAGGAGCCTGGGATTGAGAAAAAAATCCAGCTTTGAGGTGTCGAAAGCATGGACACAAGAGCAAGGATGAAGGCAGTGTGTGTGTACGTGTGTGGAGGGGGGGGGGGGGGGGTAAACAACAACAAATGACATCTGTCCCAACGACCCAAGGACATCCCAAGGTGCTGGATAATCAGGGATTTGGACCTGAGCTGGGGTTTGTGATCAGAAGGGGTGGGGGGGCAGGGAGGGTAGGGGTAGGAGGGTGGCCAAAGGTGTGGTTGAAGAGGAGGATCTTGAGAGGTGCCTTGAAGGAGGCAAAGGAGGGAGCGAGACAAACGGACTTTGGGATGGAGTTCCAAAGGGTAGGGGCAGAGAGGCTGAAGGCCCAGAGCCTGCTGAGATTGATATGGGGTTAGCAGATCACAGAGGTAGGGAGGAGCAAGGCCGTGAAGGGCAGGCTGTGGACAGAGGATAATGGGTTAAGCAGCCTCGTACTGGAAGTCTCCTCTCTGGCCCCCTGTCTTGCTGAGCAGTCGCACCTCCTCCACCACGATGTTGTGGGTGACGGACTTGCACATATCGTAGACAGTCAGGGCCGCTGTGCTGGCCGCCACCAGGGCCTCCATCTCCACCCCGGTGCGGCCCTGGGCCTGGCACACGGCAGTCACCACCACCGCCAGCCGGGCCGGGTCCAGTTGCACAGACACCCGCACCAGGTCTAGCGCCACCTGGTGGCAGAGAGGAATCAGCTGGTCCGTCAGCTTAGCCCCCATGATACCTGCCACCTGTGCCACGGCCAGTACGTCCCCTTTGCTCACCCGTTCCTGCTGTACAAGGCTGAATGCTCGCTCTCCCAGCCTCACCACTGCTCGGGCCACTGCCCTCCGCCTGCTCACTGGCTTCTCACCCACGTCCACCATGACAGCCTGGCCCGTGGCTGGGTCCACGTGGGTCAGCCTGTCGCCTGGATCCTCCCCTGCGCTCCCCTCGCCCCCTCGCACCATTTGCTCCGCTGGCCACCCGGTGGGGTCCCGGTCCCAGGCCCTCTGGCCTGATCCAATCGGGCTGCCCGCAGCAGTACAGTGAGTCCTTGCTGGAGCCAGTGCAGGCCCCACAAAGGCTCGACAGTAATAGAATGTTGGCAGTCTGTCCTCCCTACTTGTAAACACATCAGTCTGGAATGCTCTCCCTCTCTGAGCAGGATGCTGGTCCATCAAAACTGGCCCCCGCTTCAGTTGGATGAGGTTTACGAGGACCTGAGTTCCACTGGCAGCAGCTTCTTCCCCTGCAGAGAGAGAGAAGATACACATCGGAAATCGTCCTTCTCCACAAGCTCAGCACGCGCTACGTTCCTCCACCAGCCGCTCGTTTAGTAAACACCAGGTCGGGGGATCCAGGCTCCTGGGAAACCCCTTGTGGCCCCTTTTTGAATTGAACATTTATAAGTTATATTAAACAAAGTAGAAAGTTGTGGTTTTTTTAAAAATCACACTGGGAACATCAAAACGTCTCAAAATGATTCACTGTAATTACTGTCTGTCTGCGCGGTGATTTTACTTTGGAGCAAAGCCCCGCAGTCATTCTTCTCACAGCCAGAGTCAATCACTGGTCTATCTGGATGCTTGTTGGCCAGGGACATGGGGAGGAACTGCCTTCTCTTATTACCCACAAAACACATAGTCAATCAATTCATTTTACAGTGAAGTGCGTTGAAACGACTCGAAGAAGTGATAAGGCGCTATATCACATGCAAGGATTATTATTATTAACTGAACTAATTCCAGTTGGAGGCTTCAGTTGTAACTGTGGAAGCACAGGGTAAAACAAGACAGAGGAGATTGTGTTACAGCAACGTTCACTCCTGTCAGGCTGCTGCTGAAACCATTCATGCTTTTTTTTAAAACAAAACAAAATCCCCCACAAGGAAATTTGAAAAGAAAATCCTAAAATTGGAATGCTCACTCACACATTCCATCCACATGACCGTGCTCCAGATTAAAAACAAAACATTGGCTTCTGTAAGTACGTGTGCTGGAACACACAATATGTATGGGGAATGAGCACTTGTACTGATTTGTGTAAACACTAGCTTTACCTCAGTCACACACACGGATACCCCACTCACACAAAAACCTGCACACACAACACACCTACACACACAGCCACACCGCACACACACACCACTACACATCACTCACACACAACACATACACCTACAAACACGCACACACCACAGACACACACACCTACACACACACAACACATACCTTTTACTCCTGCGGATTTAAACTCCGCAACCTCCATGGGCTCTCCCTCAGACTCACCGAACCAGTGTGCAATCCAGGTTCGACCCACAGCTGTCCTTCCTCCCCCACATCCAGTCCCTGATCAGGATCTCCCTCTTCCACCTCCGCCATATTGCCCACCTCCAACCGTACCTTACACCAAATGTAGCCAAAACCCTCGTCCTTGCGTTTGTCACCTCCCACTTGGATTACTTAAATGCACTCCTAACCAGTCTCCCCAGCTCCACCATTCAAAAGATGCAGCTCAACTCTGCCGCCCACATACTGACTCGGACCAAACTTCGTACCCACATCTCGCCAGTTCTAGCCAAGCTCCACTGGCTCCCCATCAACGAATGGATCGACCTCAAGATCCTCACACTCGTGTTCAAATTCCTTCACATTCTGGCAGCTCCCTATCTTTCCAACCTCCTCGCTCCCCAGTCCACCACCTGGATCCTCCGCTCGACTGGCACCGGCCTCCTGCTCATCCCTCGCACCCTCTGCCCCACCATTGGAGGTCGCGCTTTCAGCCACTACGCCCTAAAGCTCTGGAACACTCTCCCTCAATCCTTTGCCTTGTGCCTCTCCTTTTTCAAGTCCCGCCTGAAGATCTTCCTCTTCGACCGTGCTTACAGACACCTCCCCCACCGAGCTTGGAATCAGTCTCTGCCACAGATAAGCGCTCAGTGACTCTACCCTGCGTGGAGGACGCTATATAAGTGCAAGTTGCTGTTTGTTTACACACACACGCCTACAAACACACACACACACCACACAGACATACACACATACACCCACTCACACACAAAACATCTACACACAACACACTACACACATACGCATCCTACACGCACTTACACATCACACACATCAACACACACACAACCCATTCCTGCCATCAGCCAAGTGACAGTCACACCCCCAATCCCCCCACACTGCCTCAGATCCCAGATTCCCCGCATCCCTCAAGTTCATCTCATTATTCTGGCCCAGCTAGGATGAATTGATTGATGCTGCTGTCACTGCGCTGTGCCACTGAGAGAGTCAGGAAGTACCTATGGCTCATTCACCCACCGATCAGGATCATAGGTCGGTTTTTCATCAGCGACAGGTTTAACATACCTGAGAGCAACAGACAAACAAAGAAAAGTAAAGAAACAATAATGACATCAGTTTACCGTATGTGGCTTGCTTAACAGAGAGTTCTCTCAGTAAAACACCTCACAAAGTAAACTATTTTCAAAATGGAATTCCCTATAGTGTCTTTGGTGCTTCTTAAACGTCCCCTAGCCTCCAGCATACACTCTAGTTGTCAATTACCCCTTTGGCTAGATAAATACCGGTGTCTGCCCTAAACATGCCCTTCACAAACTGAAACTGCGACCACAAGCTTGATGTCAAACTGAAATGATTGTTCTGGTTTTACTTTCTCGATTTCAATACTGGATTTGGCGGACACTCAATAGTAATAATAAACCTTGCGTTTGATAAAGCGTCTTATCACGTCTTTGAGATGTCTCAAAGTGCTTCACAGAATATACAGGGCTGTTTTAGCTACATTGTCAAACAAGATCCCCAAATAACCCAGTGGCACTCAGTTTCAAGGATCAACATGATCAAACAGCTATTTGGTATGAGAGGGAGTGGAGGGGATTGTGTGTGTGTGGTGTATGTGTGGTGTGAGAGGAAGTACCTATGGCTCATTCACCCACCGATCAGGATCATAAGTCGGTTTTTCATCAGTGAGAGAGTGAACGAGCAAGAGAGGAAGCTTAAACACAATATTGCACAATATGTCAAAAAGATTCAAAGTGCATCACTAGTAATTATTATTATTAATTGTAATCAAACAGTATCTACCAGCACCATCAAAGTGCCGCAAACAGCAAGGAGGTGAATGAATCATTTCATGTATTAGACTGTTGGCCAGGAAAGTACTTGGGATTTTTAACATCCACCTAAAGGACAGCCAGTAGGATTTAATGTCTTATCTGAAGAACAGCACCTGTGTCAATGAAGTGCTCCCTCAGCATGCTGCAAGTGTCAGCCTGGACCAACATGGGACTTCAACCCACAACCTTCTGACCCAGAAGCGAATGTGCTAACAATTGAACCACTCTCACTCTCACGTTCTCATACTCACACTCACCTTATCACTCTCTCACCCTCTCTCTTGCTGATACCATTAACCTACCTGAGTGCTGTTTCTTCTTCCTCCCCACAGCGGCCCCGATGATTTCCAGGAGCGCCTCCTCCGAGGCTCCAGAACGCAGAGTATCTCGCAGAGAGACTTCAGCGTTCCCAAAGAGGCAAACCTGCCCAGACAGAGCACAAGGAGCATTGAACTGCCATTCAGCAACTGCTCCAAACCACAGTCAAGCCCCCTGTGCAGGAGCAACAGCTGGGCTTTAATCTCTGCAGATATCAGGGTTGGACGCTGTTTCCTTCAAGCTCAACAACAACAACGTGCATTTACACAGCACCCCTCATGCAGGGCAGCGAAACAGAGCGCTTGACAGTAGCGGAGAATGATGCCGAGGCGGGGGAGGGGGTGGTCATGGTCGAAGAGGAAGATCTTCAGGCACAACCTGAAGATGTGGAAGGAAGGGGCAAGGTGGAGGGACAGAGAGAGAGTGTTCCAGAGTTTCGGGGCATAGTGGCTGAAAGAGTGACCACCAATGGCGGTTCTGCTCAGGTATCAATCTCCTGTTATACGGCTCCTTTGGTCACAATATGGTTTGAGTCTGTGCCGGAGCCATGCCTGGGTCTCACACACACACAAGCACACAACTCTCTAACCTTTAGGTTGCCATCAGCAGTGATCCGCAGCCTATTGCAGGAACCACAGAAATGGTCAGACATAGAGGTGATGAAGCCAATCTGACCCTGGAAGTTGGGCACTTTGTAAGCCTGCAGGAGAGAAAGCATAATAATAATAATCCTTGCATTTGATATAGCATCTTCTAGACTTCTCAAAGTGCTTCACAGAATATACTGTAAAGTGAATTGACTGTATATTTTGTGGGCAAAACTTGGCAGCCATTGCCCACAGCAGTGTCCCACAATTGGATTGAGTGACCAAATTATTATTATATTTTTTATTATTTTTATATTTTTTGAAAGGATTATTACTCCCGAAAGCAATCTACCAATCGACTAACAACTTATTGCTAGGTAAACAGAGGCGTGTGGAACCTTAAGGTTTCACCCTGCCCGGGAATAGAACCCAGGTCCTCTCACTTGCGAGGCACGTGCTTTAACCACTGAGCTACTGGAATCCACATGAGATTCAGGACATTGTCTGCTCCTTTTCCCTCCTTTCTCTTTGTTTCACACTCCCTGTAACATTAATGCAAGGTGTATTTCTGGGTCAGAAGGTTGTAGGGGGGTTTCAAGCCCTAAGTCAGGACTCTGAGCTCACAGCCTAGGCTGATACAGTGAGTGGGAGAGCACTGTAATATCACAGAATAACAAAATGATGGGTTTATCAGCTACAATGAGGTTAAAACTGAGGTCCCGTCTGGTTGTTCAGATGGATGTTAAAAACTGCTCGAGGTTCAAGGAAGAGAAGGGAGTTTCTTCTGATGCCTAGCAGACTTCACTTCATGACTGTTTGTGTGGAATCTTTGTGATACAAATTAGCTGCCACATTTGTCTATAAATCAGTCACTACACTTGACAGGTATTATCTGTGAAGTGCTTCAAGACATTTGATATTGTATCACTCCGAAATGCTACCAGCCTGAAGGGACTCTGTAATGCAAGTTGTTGTATCAAAATGAGAGGATTATTATTTTGTTATCTGATAATGCACCTTATAATGTCAAAAACATTTGTGGAGTCCTGTAGCTCAGTGGTTAGAGCACTCGCTTTGCAAGTGAGAGACCTGAGTTCAATTCCCGGCAGAGGGCGAAACCTTGGGCAAGTTTCCTTACTCCACACAGAGCCTAATAATAATCCTCCAAAACCAAAAACAATAATAAATTGGTCATTTTCAATCTACGACTGTTTGTGGGACATTGCTGTGCGCAATTGGCTGCCGCGTTCTCCCACAAATATACAGTCAATTCACTTTACAGTGTGTTCTGTGAAGCGCTTTGGGACGTCCTCCCGACGTGAAAAGCGCTATATTAAATGCAAGGATTATTATTATTATAAAAGTGCTTTGACAGTTACTTGGCAGCACAGTGATTATTACATGGCCAAACCGAGCAGTTAATACATGTCACCAAGATCCCAGGTGAAAGCTGCATTATTCTGTTGAATACATTTGGCTGAGGGAGGAATTTGCCCAGGGCAATGGCAGAAACATCCTGCTCTCTTTCCAAGTAATGCCACGGAATCCTTAACATCCACCTGAACAGCCAGGTGGAACCAGCTAAACTTCCAGCCCAAGGTTCATGTAACCTTCCCTGTGCTGATCGCACAAGTGAGTCCTGCTCCCGGGTTTGCTTCTGTCTGTCCCCTACAATACACTGAAGAACAGCCACGTTTGGCAATTGGGTTTGTGGTGAAGCAACGAGCGCTCATACCAGCGGGTCAATCAATGGGTTGTCCCACCAGGGGCACTGCCAACCGTATGGCAATACATCCGAAGGATTAAAAAAGACTGTAAATGAGACCCCATTGACTTTCATGGGACTATTTCTTGAGGTCTCTACCCGCTGTGTTTTCAGTGCGAGAATGCAGGGTTCATGCTCACCTTGGCTGTGTCAGTGGTTCCCGAGGGCAGTTTCTGTAGATCAGGCCATTTCTGTCTGATGGTGTCCAGCATCTCCTGGTAGCTCACCAGCTTCTTAAAGTTCCAGCGGTTACCTAGTGAAACAGAACAGGGAAATAATGCACTCACTGTCAGCCTCCACCCTGCTCCAGAAGAGTGGCTGAACACCTTCCTGTCAGGGCAGCAGTCAGATCGTGCTCATGCCTTGGGGTCAGAGCATCACGGGTTTATTAGCACTTGACCAGGCAGAACAGAGTGACAGCTTACCCCCTCCTACCCAAAAGAGTGGAGTCGGGCGAGGCTTGGCTATGATGTGGACCTTTCTTCCATCGCCCCACTACCTGAATATACGCCAATGCTCAATGCTCGCGATACCTTGGAAAGACCCCGTCAGAAAGAGATGAATGACATTTTATTACTCGATTTGGCCTCTTTTCTCTAGAGAAGAGATGTTTAAGTGGGGACCTAATAGAAGTGTTTAAAATTATAAAAGGGTTTGATAAGGTTAACATAAATAGGCTGTTTCCACTGGTTGGGCTGTCCATAACCAGGGACACAAATATAATAGCGACTAGAGGATGTGCAAGAAAATTTAGCTTAACTCAGAGGGCAGTGAGATTGTGAAACTCTGGTGTGGACTGGTTAGACCGAGCAACCTGTTTCTGTGCTGCACGTTCTATCTACATCTTATATTCTACATCTAAATTAATATTGCCAAGTATTACTTTGTAGGCAAATGTAGCAGCCATTTTAAGCACAGCAACATTCCACAAATATCTATGAAGTGAATGACCAATTAATGTGGAGGACTATTGACCAGGGCACTGGGAGAAACTCTTCAGCACAAGAGACCAAACGGCCCATCCAGCCTATGCTGATGCTAGTTCCTCCATTGGAGCTCTCTACTCTAATCCCAACTTGTTGTTTCTCTCCAGTGTGCATTGCCCTCCCTTATGTTAAGAGTAAGGAAATCATTAAGTTATTTATGCACAGCACATGTATAAACATATTCGCACATTCAAAGCATGTACAGAGGCAGCACCAGACGCACACACACACACTCACTCACAAATACAGATATGTTGCACAATTTAACTCTACATAAAGTAGCATAGAGAGAAGAGAATCCATCTAATCTATCCGATCTCTAATCTATCCAATATCTGCCCCAGATGGCACTTTATAACATTCATGGAACATTTTGGTGGGACACTGATGTGTAGGTATCTAAATATATCAAATCCTTGCTTTTACATCTGTAGGATGTCTCAAAGCACTTCACAGGATTGACTGTAAAGTGTAGCAACTTCATTTTGTTGAGAAATACTGACCGTCAAAAGGCATGTACTCAATAAACCGCACGTCTAGCGGCTTCTCCTCTGTCAGTGACACAAAGTCCAGCAGCTCGTCCTCGTTCATGCCCCTCATCACCACACAGTTCACCTGGCAGAGCAAGTCCAAGATCTTACACACTCACCTTTACCACATGTCCCATTTCAGCAAGTGCCTTGCTGGGAATCTCAGGGGATTGCGACAGTTAATAATAATAATAATTGTTGTATTTGATATGGCGCCTTATCACGTCGTTGAGACATCTCAAAGCGCTTCACAGGATACAGAATCATAGAATTATACATCCCAGAAGGAGGCCATTCGGTTCATCGTGTCTGTGCCGGCTCTTTGAAAGAGCTACCAAAATTAATCCCACTCCTCCGCGCTCTCCCCATAGCCATGCAAACTTGTCCTCCCCAAATATCTATTCACTTCTCTCTAAAAGCTGTTATCGAATTGGCTTCCACCAGCCTTTCAGGCAATGCACTCCAGATCTGAACAACTCACTGTGTGAAAAAATGTTTTCTCAACTCCCTTCTGTTTCTTTTGACAACTATCTTAAATCTGTGTTCTCTGATTACCGACCCACCTACCAGTGGAAACAGTTTCTCCCTGTTCACTCTATCAAATCCCCTCAGAATTTTGAACACCTGTTAAATCTCCCCTTAACCTTCTCTGCTTCAAGGAGAATAATCCTGGCTTCTATAGTCTCGCCACATAACTTAAGTCCCTCATTCTTGGTACCATCCTGGTAAATCTCCTTTGCACCCTCTCCAATGCCTTGACATCCTTCCTTAAGTGTGGCGCCCAGACCTGAACACAGTCTCTAGCTGAGGCCTAACCAGTGTTTTATAAAGGGTCATCATAACTTCCTGACTTTGTATTTTATGCCCCTATTTAAAAAGCCAAGTATCCTATATGGTTTTTTAAAGTTTCATCTACCTGTCAGTGATATAGTGTAAAGTGAATTAACTGTACATTTTGTGGGTGAAACACGGCAGCCAATTGTGCACAGCAGTGTCCCACAAACAGTCGTGACCAAATTGCCTCAGGTTTCGCCCAGGAATCAGATCCGGGTTTCCTGGCTTGAGAGGCAAGCACACTAGGCTCTACGCCAATGAGCAAGGAATTAGCCAGGCAAACGAGAGAACACCCTGCTCCTCTTCCAAACAGCGCTGCGGCAGGATGAGAGACAATAGGAGAATTGTAGGAGAATGCAAGTTTAATCCATATAGAACAGGAATCCTTGCATTTGATGAAACACCTTTCACGCCGGGAGGATGTTCTCAAAGCGCTTCGCAAGATTTATTATAAAGTTTAGTGCTTTGAAGGCGAACGTGGCAGCCAATGCACACAGCAATGTCCCACACACAGCCAAGAGGTGAATGATCAATTTTATCTGGGGGATTGTTGGTCAGGACACCGAGAAAGAGAAATTCCCTTTTCTTTTTGATCAGCGCCATGTCATCTGTAATGCCACCCTGAGCAGACGGGACCTCAGTGTAACATCTCATCCAAAGGATGACACCTCTAAAAACGCAGCATTCCCAACATCAGTGTGTGATCTTGTCAGCCTAGACTATGTGATTTCAAAATCTGACGTGGGCTTGAACACGCAATCTTTTGACTCATAGGCGATTGTGCAACCAACTGAGCCAGGCCGACCGTTACTGTATAAAGAGCGAGTAGTCAGGCTCTGTCCACTCTTACCTTGACTGGATTGTAGCCCATTTCCACCGCTTTGTTGATCCCCTCCATCACCTTGTGAAACCCTGAATAAAAAGTAGATAAGAGTCACGTTCAGAGCTGTCAACTCCCGTGAGACAACAGCAGAGAAAACATGCAAAGTTCTGCATTACACTGCGCACTGGTAGTTTGCACCCAGCATGCTTACGGTACCTTATCACGGAGCATCTCAAAGCGCTTAACAGATAATTACTTTCAAGTGTACTGGCTGATTTTGTTGCCAAATGCAACAACTGAACCAGCAAGACCAGGTAAGGTGATTGATTGATTCGTTTGGAGGATTGTTAGCCAGGAAAGAGGAGAAACTCTCTTCTCTTTGTCCAAAGAGTTTAGATCTTTGACGTTTACTTCATGTTCTTCAGATTAACACCTGATGTGAAGAACGGGGCCTTTGAGAATGCACCACTCGAACACTGCAGCCTGGACCACACCTGCTATGCTTTGTCCATACAGATGGCTACCAGCAAACCCAAATACAGTGTTGCCTACCCTTCCTGATCCCAACCACCAGCTCGGATGCGGATCCCTGACTGTCCAGTGCCTTGGGACGTCCTCCTGACATGAAAGGTGCTATACACATGTAATTTGTTGTTGATGTTGCCTCACTCCCGTGGACTTGTATTAACTGAAACTACAGTGTAGCCGTCTTCCTGCAATGACCAGCCAGAATCCTGCATTAAACACTGTCAGACTTCTGTCTCAGCTTGTCTCTGACGTCATGTTAAGCTTGGTGCTCATATGCAGTATCAGCAGGTCACACCACTGATGTCATCTACAAAGGAAGAATGATTAGTGGCACTTCCGCTAATGCATGTCCAGCACATGTGCACATAGAGGAAGTGATGTGGACGGCGATCTGATTGCCTAGAAGTTAGGAAATTGAACCCGGCTGACAAAGTTCCCCTGTATCTATTTAGGATAACAATGCTGGCTCCCTCACACACCCTATGTACAGTCTCCTCTTCATACTCTTGTGAAAATATTTAAAATGACAAACCATCCCTTGCCTGGCTCAGATTAAAAACAAAACGTGAAATGTCAGCACTGCATGATCAGAACAGTATTTCCCAGCAGATTTCAGATCTTTGAATCCCATTTCACCTCATACTCCTTAATATCTTTACTTCACAGGTTTCGAACCATTTCTGTTAAACATCCCCAAATTATTCCAACTTCCCAGTATAAGGTCCTGGAGCAGTGGAATCTATGTTTTCACAACCCTCTTTGTAAACAAATGTTTTCTGATCCCCATTACTAAGCACCCTAGTTCCAATTTAAAGATTATACGCACTTGATTTGAGGTTAGTTTAATGTATCACATCCCTCTATATCAAACTGATCTGGAACATGAACTACAGAGCAAGGAAAGCGGCTCTTAAGAGTGTAACATATGGGGAATATATTGGAGAAGGGAGAGACAGAGAGGACTCGAGCAGCTCTCATGAGCATTGAGCAGTCATCAGTGGCTCAACACTGGCACCCAGTGGCACGATTGCATTTCCTCAACAGAATCAGGCTTCACACTGAAAAGAGATAAATTGCAGCCAGTTGGTTTTCAAAACCAATAGATCGAAAGTTCATCTAGTCTCAACTTGTTCATCTGTTTTATCTGTGGAAATTCTTACATCATCCTCATTTGGAAGTGGGTTTTCCAAGGTCCTTAAACAGAACCGGCTTCCAAATTAAGATTGAATTTAGTATTTGCCGCAATTGTGCGTCATCTGAACTTTGAGGACAAAACAGATTTACAGGCTAAAACTGGGTGAAATTTCAAACCTCTAAAAGTTTTCAAACTTTGTAAATAATAATAAAATAATAATCCTTACACTTGATATAAGGATTAGATTTTATTTTTTTTAAAAAAACGTGGTCACTCGATCCACTACTGTTTGTGGGACACTGCTGTGTGCAATTTGCTGCCACGTTTTGCCCACAAAATAAACAGTCAATTCACTGTACAGTATATTCTGGGAAGCGCTTTGAGACGTCTTGAAGACATGATAAGGCGCTATATCAAATGCAAGGATTATTATATTTCATTTTCACATCTCAAAAGGCTATATAATAAATAATAATCATTGCACTTGACATAGCGCCTTATCACGTCTTCTCAAAGTCTCAAAGCTCTTTACAGAATATACTATAAAGCGAATTGACTATTTTGTGGGCGAAATGCTGCAGCCAATTGCACACAGCAATGTCCCACAAATAGTAGTGGATTGAGTGACCAATTTATTTTTTTCGGATGGTGGGGGATTATTATCCCCAGAAAAGCGATCTGCCAATCAACTAACAACCAGGTTCCTACTTACTGCTAGGTAAACAGGCGTGTGGAGTAAGGAAACTTGCCCAACATTTCACAATGCTGGGAATCGAACCCAGGAATCGAACAATGCAAGTTGAGTGCTTTAACCACTGAGCTATAGAGTGCAAAATGGAGTGACTGTGTTTTGAGGGCGAATGAGAATAACTTAAACCCCAATGTCGTCATTGTCCTCCCATACCTCACAGTGACCCTGCCCAAGTCATGCCCACATGTAATCTACACTTCATGTTCTACCAATGCCCTCTCGCCATGACCTAAAAGTGCTCCAGCTTAATACTGGTGTGGGGAGCGGGGCATCCAACTCTCCCCTCCCCCAAGAAAGGTGCCTCCAGAAATGAGCAGAGACCAGTGTTAAGAAACACAGAGACGCTGCCCTCTCAGTACCTCTCCTTCGCACAATGAATTCAAAGCGAGCAGGAACCAAGGTGTCTAGGCTGATGTTAAGCAGGTTCAGGCCGGCCTCCTTCAGGCTGGGCAGCAGTCTGACCAGGTTGATACCGTTGGTGGTGACACCAATAGTCTTGAGACCTTCCAGCTTCCGTAGTTGAGCTGTTGAAAAAACAAAATAATTAATAATGGAAAAAGTCGCCCAGAAGTCACTGGACTGCTTTACCCTTTCTATTTGTTTTATTGCTGAGCGAGGTTACACCTGCTCATCCCCCAGTAACTTAATTAGAACAAAACGCTTTCCGCGAGAACAAGGGTTGTCCCCGAGAGGCAATTGGGTCACTGCACCCAAGGGTGTGAGTCTTAAGGGTGTGAGTGTTGGCAGCCACAAGGCAACTCAGTTCATGTGGAGGACACTCCCTTCTTGTTTCAAATGGTGTAACAGGATCCTTAATATTTGGTTGAAAAGAGGCCGACTGGTTTAATTCTTCATCCAAAGATGGCACCTCTGACAGTACAGCTCTCTCAGTTCTGCCAGCCTTTATATGAGCTCAACTTCTGATTCGAAAGTGACGAGTGCTGCCAATTGAGCTAAGGTCACGCCAGCACAGTGAGCTCAAGAGAAAGTGAGAAACAGAAATCATCCAGGCAGAATCTACACGTTTGTCCAAAAGGGCCCTAAATTCCATGTCACCTAGACCCGAGATAAGCCTATTTTCTCTTAAAATGTAAGATTGCACAGAACTGCGGGGAATTCTTCAATCGAATCTTAATTTGGAAGACAATTTTTCAGTTCTTAAAAAGAAACAACTTCCAAATTAAGACTCGATTTGAAACATATAGCACAATTCTGTGTCTTCAGGCTCGCTCCCAAGGGAATTTCTGAGCTTCAGAGAGCTCAGGAAATGGAGTTGAACAATAACCATCCCTGCATTCTCTCTTCTGAGTTCCTGGCCTGGTTTGAGAAGCTGGTTCTGTTGGGAGTTTGAGTTGCAATGAATTAACGGAGTGTTCGATGAATGGACGTGTTCTCTAACCTGAGGGACCTTATATTTTAAGAACCAGAGGACACAGCCTGCGATTGATGGGGGGCTAAATTCAGAACAAATCTGCGGTAACACTACTTCAGTGAGAAAGTAGTGAACTTATGGAACAGGCTCCCTAGGGAGAGGGTGGTAGCAGAAAATGTTTGTTTGAAAAATAAATTAGATAATTTCTGCTGGAAAATAATATCTGGAGATACAGTGTATAGTTTGGGACACAACATGTCAAGTGAGGATGGTGAAAAGCGAACTAGACGGACCTTGGTCTTCTTTTGCCTAGCAAGTTCTTAAGATAATCTTACAGACTAAAACTTATTTATTTATTTATTCCTTCTTACAGGAAAAACTGAGGCATCTTTAAATCTTCTTACACACAATCCTGCACACACCGCCTGGGTGATCTGAGGAATGAAAGCAAGCCGTAGCAGAGACTGCAGCTGCTTGGTGTCTTCACAACACAAACTGGCATCGACATACCAGCGAAACCCTGAGCCATTGAGGCAGCCTCTTCCAGGGTGAGAATCAGACACACAAGAGCAGTCACAGGGTGTCTCCCTCCTTCACAATAATACCAGGCCTCACACATTGCTAGGAAGATAAGAAACAGGGGCCTATCTGAAAACCACAATGCCTGTCATGCAAGAGAAGATGAAAAAAATAATGGGTTTAGGTTTGATTGGAGGCTTTTCTTTTCATTGCAGTTAGTGAGAGGACCTGGGTTTGATTCCCGGTCAGGGTGAAATGTTAGGGAATTTTCCTTACTCCACATTCACGCCTCTGTTTACCTAGCAGTAAGTAAGTTGTTAGTCGACTGGTGGATCACTTTTCCAGGGGTAATAATCACTTCAATATATAAATAAAAATAATAAGTTGGTCACTCAATCCATGACTGTTTGTGGGACACTGATGTGCACAATTGGCTGCCACAAAAATATGCAATCAAAATCACTTTACAGTAAGTTCTGTGAAGCGCTCTGAGACGTCTCAGAGACGTGATAAGGCGCTATATCAAATGTAAGGATTATTATTATTACTATTATATAATGAGTGAAGCTCTGTCAGCATGACAGTGCAGGGTGAATCTCCAGTGCAGTATTAGAGCAGAACTGCAACACTGGGAGTCTCTCCATCAAACAAGATATTACACTGATAACCCATCTCTTCAGACGGTAGTCAAAGATCCTGGGACAGCATTTGACGAAAGGACGGAGTTTCTCCCGGTTGTGTCGCAGCAGGCAGTTTGCACACAGCACTGTCCCATGAACAGCCATGGAGTAAACAACTCACTGACTGGGACACATGACTTACCCACGATGTCCACTACGTCAGGCCTGATGAGTGGCTCCCCTCCTGTCAGCCGGACTTTGTCCACTCCCTGCTTCACAAAGAGGCCGGCCAGTGTCACCACCTCCTTCACCGTCAGCATCTGTGCTCTGGGTGTCAGCTTGACCCCCTCCTCGGGCATGCAGTATTGACCTGTAGATATAAGTTCTGGATTTAACCTGGGTATAATTCAGCACTACCCGCTGCAGTCTCAAAGCCCCATCCCCCCACCACCACCCAACCAAGCACAAGAAAAACCAAAAGCAGTCAGTCAGCCCTTCTTCTTTGACCATGCCTACAGTCACCCTCGGCATCAAGCTCTGCGTGAAGGGTGCTAAATAAATGCAAGTTGTTGATGTTGTATGGACTGACCGACTGACTGGCTCGGTACTCACTAGTTACTGACTGACTGACTGACTGACTGAGGGGCTCATACTAACCAGCGATTGAGCCTGAAATTCTACAATCGAGTTAGCACCAACGGTTAAAGAGTAACTTACAACAACAACAACAAAATTACATTTATAGAGCGTCTTTCACGTCGGGAGGGGTGAGGGAAGGCAGAGAGGTGGGAGGGAGACCGAGACACGCTCGAAGAGAAGGGTCTTGAGACCGGCCTTGAAGGAGGCAAGCGAGGAGGTGAGGCAAAGGGACCGTGGGATGGAGTTCCAGAGTGTGGGGGCAGAGAGGCTGAAAGCCTGGCCACCAATGGTAGGGCGGGTTGGGTGGGAGACATGGAACAGGCCGGAGCCCGATAAATGGAGGGAGCGGGCAGGTTGGTAGGGAGACAGCAACTCAGGGAGGTAGGAGGGGGCAAGGCCATGGATGGCCTTAAAGGTGAGGATGATGATCTTGAACTCAATCCTCTGGGGGATGGGGAGTCAGTGGAGTCGGGCGAGGGTGGGAGTGATGGGGTCACGGAGCCTGGTGCGTGAGTTTGGATGATCTGCAGCTTGTGAAGGGAAGAGTTGGGAAGGCCGATGAGGAGGGAGTTCCCGTAATTGAGCCTTGAGGTGACGAATGCGTGGGTGAGGGCTTTGGCAGCTTGAGGGGTGAGGCAGTGGTGAAGTCTGGCAATGTTGCAGAAGTGGTGGTAGGCAGTGTCGGTCATGGCGCGGATGTGGGGGAGAAAGGACAGTTCAGGGTCAGGGAAGTTAAACTTACAGCGAAGGTTACACTTCTCTGTCAAGGAAATGCGGAGGTAGTTATGGTGCCTCCCAAAATGATCCGTCAAAAAAGCAGAAAATGGCAGTGGATCTTCGAGGAAGCGGCTCCGACCAGTCAGCAACAGCGGCTTCTGAATAAGGAGATACATCGTTATGGATCCCAATGAGGGGCCAGGGGGAATGGAGGAGAGAGAGATAGAGAGCTCTCCTAACCGTGTGTGTTGTCTGTGGTGGTGTGTGGTAGTGTGTGTGGGCTAATCTCTCCTCCCTCATCTGCATCCCCACCCTCCCTCCGCTTCATCTCCAATAAGACCCTGGCTGTCAATGATCTCATCCTCGATGAGAACACTGACATCATGGCCTCACAGAAACTTGGATCACCCCAGGTGACACCTTCCCCCTCACTGAGGCCACACCACCCGGCTACACCTACCACCATGTCCCAGGCCCCAACTGTCGTGGCGGTGATGTGGCTCTCATATCCAGGGCGTCACTTGCCCTATCCCTCTACTCTACCGGCTCGTTCCCCTCCATCGAACACCTTACCCTCTGCCATCCCTCCCATTTCTCGCTAAAAATTCTCCTAATTTACCACGCCCCAAATCCTCTCCCACCTTCATCTCTGACATCTCCACCCTCCTTGTTTCCCTCTGCCTCTGCTCCGACCGCCTCATTATCCTAGGCAACTTCAACCTCCACTTCAACCCCTCTTGCTCCACCTCCTCAGACTTCTCTCTCCTCTCCCCTCTCAATCTCTCCCTTCACATCCACTCTGCTACCCACACCCATGGTCACCCGCTCAAACTGGTGATCACCCGGGGCCTCAACGTCTCGGATGTCACCATCACTGACAAGCTCATCTCCCTCAACTCCCATATCCCTCTCCCCACTGCCTCCAAACCTACCACCATCTTCTACCGCCCATGGAAGAAGATCTTCCTGCAATCCCTCTCCGCTGCCCTAGAGTCCTCTGATCTCCTTCCCCTCTGGCCCACCTCTCGCAACAACCCATTCACTGCACTCACTCTTCTCCACAGCACCCTCTCCACCGCACTCAACGTCCTTGCCCCCCTCACCTCCCGAACTGCCTCCTATTGCTGATCCTCACCCTGGTTCACCAGCCACCTCCACTTGCTCAAGGGCCAGGTGCGGTCTGCCGAACACGCTTGGCTCAAATCTGGCCTAACGGTCCACCGCCACATCTGGCTGGACCGCGTCAAAACCTACCACTCCGCTCTCACCTCAACCAAATCATCCTCCTATTCCAGGTTAATCCTTGAGGCGAAGGGCAACCCCAGTCTCTTGTTCTCCACCACCAACCAGCTCCTTTGCCCTCCCCATCATGCCTCGCAAATTCTTTCCTCTGACTCTCACTGCGAGAAAATGCTGGACTTCCTTGAGTCCAAAATCGAGGGAATCCGCTCAGCTGCCACTGCCCTCCCAACTTCCACCACCTCCCTAACCCCACCCCACACACCTACCCATCTGACAACTACTCACCCCTCTTTCCACAACTTTGAACCTGTCACCCCCTCCTCTGTCTTCACCACCGTAACCTCCATGAAGTCCACCACCTGCTCCATGGACCTCATCCCCACCTCTCTCCTAAAATCCCAGCTCCACCTCCTTGCCCCACTACTCACCGACATCATTAACCTCTCCCTATCATCTAGCACTGTTCCTTTCCCCCATAAAGCAGCTACTATCACCCCCACCTTGAAGAAACCTTCCCTCGACCCGTCACAGCTATCCAGCTACCGGCCCATCTCAAATCTCCCTTTCCTATCTAAGGTCCTTGAGAGAGCCGTTGTCTTTCAGCTTTGCTCTTTCCTCTCCTCTCACTCCTCGGGCACTGGCAGCATCAGCCTCCACGGCTGCACACTCAACCTCACTAAGCCAGTCAGGAACCTGGGTATCTTGTTCGACCCTGAACTGTCCTTTCTCCACCACATCCACACCATGACCGGCACTGCCTACCACCACCTCCGCAATATTGCCAGACTCCACCATTCACCCCTCAGGCTGCCGAAACCCTCACCCACACATTTGTCACATCAAGGCTCAACTACGGGAACTCCCTCTTCATCGGCCTTCCCAACTCTTCCCTTCATAAGGTGCAGATGATCCAAAACTCTGCAGCTCATGTACTCTCGCGCACCAGGCTCTGCGGCCCCATCACCCCCACCCTCACCCGACTCCACTGGCTCCCCATCCCCCAGACGGCCAATTCAAGATCCTCGTCCTCAGTTTCAAGGCCATCCATGGCCTTGCCCCCTCCTACTTCTCTGACCTGCTAACTCCCTACCAACCTGCCCGCTCCCTCTGTTCAGCGGGCTCTGGCCTGCTCCATGTCTCCCACCCGACCCGTCCTACCATTGGTGGCCAAGCATTCAGCCTCTCTGCGCCCACACTCTGGAACTCCATCCCACGGTCCCTTCGCCTCGCTTCCTCCCTTGCCTCCTTCAAGGCCGGTCTCAAGACCCTTCTCTTCGATTGTGCCTTTGGTCGCCCTCCCACCTTTCTGCCTTCCCTCACCCCTACACCACCCCTCCCCCATGCTCAGGCCCCGACACCTGACTGTTCAGCGCTTTGAGACGTCCTCCCGACGTGAAAGGGGCTCTATAAATCGCCGACAATTAATAATAATAACAATAATCCTTGCATTTGATATGGCGCTTTTCACATCGGGAGGACATCCCAAAGCGCTTCACAGAACACACTGTAAAGTGAATTGACTGTATATTTGTGGGCGAATGCGGCAGCCAATTGCGCACAGCAATGTCCCACAAACAGTTGTAGATTGAAAATGACCAATTTATTATTGTTTTTGGTTTTGGAGGGATTATTATTAGGCTCTGTGTGGAGTAAGGAAACTTGCCCAAGGTTTCGCCCTCTGCCTGGAATTGAACTCAGGTCTCTCACTTGCAAAACGAGTGCTCTAACCACTGAGCTACAGGACTCCACACATGTGTGTGGGTGGTGTATGTGGTGTGTGGGTGTGTGTGTGTGGTGTGTTGTGTGTGGTATGGATGTGTGCTGTGCGTGTGTGGGTGTGTGGTGTGTGAGTGTGGTGTGCATGTGGGGTGCATGTGTGTGTTTTGAAGTGTGTGGTGTGTTTTGGTGTGTGTTTGTGTGTGTGTGCGTGTGGAGTGTATGCATGGTGTGTGTGTGGTATGCGTGTAGAGTGTGTGTGTGGTGTGGGTGGTGTGTGTGGTGCGTGTAGGTATGTAGGGGTGGTGTGTGTATGAAACCCTCATACACGCTTTCATTACATTGAGGCTTGACAATCAAACTCCTTGTTGTCGGCCTCACCAACTCTTCCCTCCATAGGCTGCAGATTATCCAGAACTCTGCAGCCCATGCCCATGTCCGCAACAGGCTCCGTGACCCTATCACCCCCATCCTCACCTGATTTCACTGGCTTCCCATCACATAGAGGATACAGTTCAAGATCCTGGTCCTCACCTTCAAGCCCCTTCATGTTCTTGTTCCTCCCTAGCTCTGCGACGTCTTAACCCCTTACCATTCTGCTCGCTCCCTCTGCTCAGCGGGCTTTGGCCTGCTTCACGTCCCCCGCCTCGCTCACCCCACTATTTGTGTGTATGGTATGTGTGGATATGTGGGGTGGTGTGTGTGTGGTGTATGTGTGGGTGATGTGTGTGGGTGGTGTGTGTGTGTGTGGGGGGGTGGTGGTGTGTGTGGTGTATTTGTGTGGCGTGTGTGGGTGTGTGTGGGGCATGTGTGGGGCATGTAGGTGACATGTGGATGGTATATAAGGGTGGTAACTCATGGTATAAGGTGGTAACTCATCCCCTTCATCCCTGGTATTAACCTAATAAATCTACGCTGCACCCCCTCCAAGGCAAGTACATCCTTCCAAAACTGCACACAGTATTCCAGGTGTGGTCTCACCAGGGCCCTACACAGTTGCAGCAAGACTTCCCTACTCTTATACTCTAATCCTTTCATACTGAATGCAAACATACCGTTCGCCTTCCTAATTGTTTGCTGCACCTGCAGACTAACTTTCTGTGATTGATGTACAAGGACACCCAAGTCCCTCTGGACGCTAACACATTCCAATCTCTCCCCTTCTGAAAAATAACCCGCTCTACTGTTTTTGCTACCTAGGTGGATGACTTCGCACTTCCCTACATTATACTTCATCTGCCACCTACCTGCCCAATCACCTAACCTATCTATGTCTCGCTGCATTTTTTTAATGTCGTCCTTTGTGTTGACACTTCCTCCTAGTTTTGTGTCATCCGCAAATTTAGATATATTAACTTCGATGTCCTCATATAGATCGTTGATGTAGATTGTAAATAGCTGAGGCCCAAGGACTGATCCTTGTGGCACTCCACTAGTCACATCCCGCCAATCTGAGAAGGACCCGTTTATCCCTACTCTTTGTTTCCCACCCGTTAACCATTCCCCAATCCACGTTAATAAGCTCCCACCAATTCCATGGGCCCTTATCTTTTGGACTAACCTTTTATGTGGCACCTTATCGAATGCCTTCTGGAAGTCCAAATAGACCATATCCACTGATTCACCCTTATCTAGTTTACTCGAAATATCCTCAAAAAACTCTATGAGATTTGTCTTGACTTCCCTTTTGTAAAGCCATGTTGACTTGGCCTAATTATATTGTGCTCCCCTAAATACCGCACTACCACATCCTTAATCAATGATTCTAACATTTTTCCTATCACTGATGTGAGACTAACTGGCCTATAGTTCCCCATCTTTTCCTTTCCACCTTTTTTTAAATAGTAGTGTGACATTTGCAATCTTCCAATCCATGGGGACTGTTCCAGAACCCAAGGAATTTTGGAAGATCAGATATAAGGCCTCCAACTATTTCATAAGCTCCTCTTTTAAAACCCTGGGATGCAAGCCATCTGGATCAGGGGATTTGTCACTTTTCAGTGCTAACAGTTTCCCTAACACCAATTCTCTACTAATGAACATTTCCCTAAGTTGCTCCCTGTCCTTAACCCCTTGGTGCATCTCTATTGTTGGTAGACTTGTTGTGTCTTCTAGGGTGAAGACAAATGCAAAGTACCCATTTAGGTACTCTGCCATGTCCTTATCCCCCCTTACAACTTCTCCCGTCTCTGGCTGAAGT